CACCCACCGTCAACTTTTGGGCTACTCTTTTACCAACGAATAGTGGGATTGACCGTCATATTATAACGCCCCCGCGGCTGAAAGGGCGAACATGTTTGGTGGGACTAGAAATGAACCTGCCATTAGGCACTACAGTTGTACTGGACCTGTTGAGTTACGTAAAATTTCCCACTTATCACATAGCTTTGTTTGACAATTTCTTTTCAGTTTATGACTTATTAGTTCTACTGAAAGAAGGAGGTTTCAGAGCTACAGATACTTTACGAGACAATCGCAGGAAGAACTGTCCATTACTATGAAATAAATAAATGAAAAGTCGTGAAAGGGAATACCATTTTGACAATGAGAAACTCATTCTGATGGTGAAGTGGAAGGACAACAGTGTTGTAAGCATTGGAACAAACTATGATGGTGTAGAATCTTTTGGCAAAGTAAAGAGGTGGTCAAAGACAGAGAAAGCAAAGGCTGATGTACTACAACCACAGTTGTTTTCCGCATACAATGTATGAATGGGAGGTATCGATTTACATGACCAAGCTGTGAACACATACAGAACTGCTTTTCGTGGGAAAAAATGGTGGTGGGTGCTATTTACACATATGATGAATACTTGTGTGGTGAATGCTTGGAAGAGTTATCAACTTGTATGTCCAATAAAAATCAATCTTCTTATTTTCTAAAAAAATGTGGCACGATTACCTTCACATCACAGTTGCATTTTCTTGTAAAGATCAACAGTCAGGTACTATTTCACGTGTGCAGCTTAGTGTTCCCAGAAGCATAATTCAGGACCCTCATGGTCATTTTCCTCAAAAAATAGAAAAGCAGAGAAGATGTGCAGTGTGTCATGCAAGAATCCATTGGATGTGCAAAAAAAAATGTGGATCAACTTTTTGCTTAATAACAAACAATAATTTTAACTGAAGATGAACCACACTTAATTAAAAAGAAAAAAAAGTTGAATAGAATTATCATGACTTCATCTTTCAAGAATATAACTGAACTGTATAAATCACTGACTTAAACTGATAATGATATCTATATAAAGAACATGAAGATGTAATGCATTTATGATATTCTGTGGTTTCCTATTTATTTTTTTGCCTTAGAGGCAAACTAAAGCATTTTTACAGTGTATGGATTCAAGATGAAAATTACCTCGCAGTCTATAAGTAACAAAGGTGTTGCATAATATTTAGTTCACAGTCTTAAAATAAACAAGGTTATATTAAGCTTAATAAGCTGAAACGTATAAAAAAATGTTCTTGACTTTAAAAATTCAAATTAACCAAAGACTCAATATTCAGTGGATTTATTTATTCCTTTACTTTTTATAAATTAAATTTCACATCAACCCCAAGAAGTCTTGGAATAATGGGCCAAAGATTAGTAAAAGAACAGTGTTTATTATTCTTTTCAACCACTAAAATCTTTTACTCGGTACAATTTAGCAAGTTTTTCTTTTTAATCTTTGAAGCTCACATAATGTTCCAAAATTATATATATGATCAATATTTTGATTCCTACTGTAACCAGGTTGTATTTATAAAGAAACATTCTGGTATGGAGAGGATTATATATAGAAACCATTATGCATGGCAGAATTATCTACAACATTAAAAAGAAACAATATTTTCAAAGATCCTCATTTATGTTCTTTCATATTCTTCTGACAATACATTAAAGTAACCAAATATATATAGATATATGTGTACATAAATACATATACATAAATACACACACTTGACAAATATGTTCACCAGTAATCAATGTTTTGAACCACAAGTCATAAAAATAATTAACTGAAAAATTTCAAACACGGAATTCTGTGACGTAGGGGAACTAACATATCACTTGGACACCTACTTCTGTACTAACTGGGCAACAATGTCTATAGAAGTACAACTAATCAAATTCAACAAGATAGAACATAATGAAATTTTGATTGTTAACTAACATGTTTTTAAAACTAAAAATCATCTACGATTATGAACCATTTCAAATCTGATTTGTATTTTTAAACATTAATTCAAATATATCCTGCCCTGTGAAAATAAAAACACATGAAATATCAATTATGTTGTTTTTTTATTATTATTACTAAAACATGTTTAGAAGTCAGTCAGTTTTATCTCTAAATAGTAGAATAATTTTATATAGAACTCTTGGAAAAAGAAAACGCATGTAAAAATTGTATCTCAAACAACCGAATTACCATTAATTTGCAGCAATAATACATTGCAAGAAAATATAACAAAATAAAATGACATGGTGACAATTTTGGTCAACTGTTAGGATTTTGATTTCTAGAAAAAAAAGAAAAGGCAACTTAAACAAATGGAATTTATGCTGAACACATTGTGTTGCAACTTACCAATATTTTTTTTCCTTTCAGATAGCACTCTAATATTGCATCTATGAATTGTCTTACAAAAAAAAAAAAACAACTAATGTACAAGTTAAAATACAATAAAATCCAACATTGAAGTTACTGAAAATGGCCACAAATCATTTCAAGATTAAAACAAAGCAAATCTAATTAAAACTACAGCAATCATAGATGAAAAATTCAAAACTTCATTGAAAAAAATAGTTGAAATAACACTGCAGTAGTGACTTTAAAATGACATATATTTTAAGAGTTATATTATTTCAAATACTTTTTTCTGAAAATCTATCTATCTTACCTTCATCCATTAAAAAAAAAATATGAAAAACGGTATTAGAAGATTACAAAGACCTAACAGGAAACTTGATCAGTACACTTAACGAATTCACTGAAGAAATAAACTAAAATAAGACAATTTCCAGAAACCAATTTCTAATTAAGAGACATAACTAATAACTAGATAAACTGGCTAAAACATGAAATTTCTGAAAGTTTAATGTTTGTTTAACATTTCAGTTAAAATTTCATGCTTTTCTATTTCTTTTTTATAGATAACAAACAACAATCAAGTTCTACAGAATCAAATGAAGAAAAACAGCTTTCACACAACAAGAAATCACTCAACATTAAGGCAGAAAATATTGCACACATCAAGATTTACTTCACAGACCAGCAACTGTACAGTTTTTTAGGCTATTCTATCATCAGACTTTCTCCACAGTCTGATGGATAAAAGCTATACCTACTTTAAGCTATTAACAGTTTAGAGAAGTAAGTATCACAATTAAATTATCAGAGACCATCCAAAAGATTTACAACTTTAAGCAGATCAGTAGCATCAGGATTTTAGAGATGTTCTACATGTACGTTTATCTGATTAGATGACAATACATTTTCTATACTTTTTAAAAATGAAACAATAATGTAGTTTCACCATAACCTAAAATTTAAGATACCTGTACAAAAGAACACAATGAATTATTAGTGATAAATTATTTGCAACTTATTTTAAAGTTACATGTATGGTATTTTTTAATTGTCTTCTAAACATCACAGTGAATCTGTATTTATATAGAATTTTAAGAATATATATATGTAATTTATACTATTAAGAAGCTGGTTAAGATACTAAAAATAAATATGAAGCCCATCTATGATACATATTCTTCATATCCTATATACATGTTCACTGTGGTTAGCAAAAAACAACTAAAAACGTCATACGTATATGATCCATCACTACAAGAAAACTAGTCTCATGTCCTTCAATTTGTTCTTGTCTAATGTTACCGATGAATAGTGGAATTATAGGAAACCAATAAAACTTAGTGGTGGATCAACTGATAGATTGGGTTTCTTTTAAAATTAATTTATTCACAATCTTGAATTATAGGAGGTAGTTAAGAGATTTTTCTAGAACATATCTTAGTTGAGTAAGATATTCATTAGTGATAAATATCATTTAAATCTTACTTAACTAATCACTGAAAAATCTAAATATAAAGATAATTTTGAAATTCTGATGAACTCTATGAACTTGGAATTACAAAACATTTCAATTACTGTCTTTGTGATAAAAGTTTCTATTCATGGATGTTTACGCATGTCTTCCAGAACCAGAACAAATTGAATATTAAAGTGAGTCTACAAAACTGTTAAAGGTGATTCACATGTACACTGTTAGAATAAATTTCATAAATACTGAAAATTATAAAAAGTTTTTGTTTCAATGTCAATTTACCATAAAATGCCATCATAGTCATGGGAAAAAAATTCTGGAATGCAAATATTCCTTTTTTCATCCATCACTGAATGCTAAATTTATAGACATCACTAGTACTAGGGAACTAAACATTAATTATGATTGAATGTCTCGACTGAAACTAAAAAAAAACAATAAAGATAACATCAGACAAATGCAGTTTGAGTTTGCATCATAAGACTATTGAGATGAATGTATTATAATTGTAGCAGTTTCTGAAATGCATCACAATACATTTTCATGAACATAAAATATGTTTGAAAATATAATTTCTTGGAATTAAATGACTATGAATTCATAAAACAATCCCAATGTGAAAAAAAAACAAGTTGAAGCAAGTTAAATTCTTTGGAGGATCCACCGAGAGGAATATATCTTCACATTACAGTTTAGCATATAGAGAATTTGTACTACGCACAATCTATTAATATATACAACTTCTTTTGCATACATGAAAATTTACAAACTCTATTGTGTACACTAAGCACAGCACATTAAAAAAATCCCACTAATGCATGACCACAATAATTTTCTACAATTGCCTGAAACTAACTTATGGGTTAGAAAATGAACCTTGAAAAGATCAGTGATACTAGCATTTAGAGATATCTCACTAGATGTAATGCCAGTCACTACAGGACACAACACAACAGTTAATGATAGAGGAAAATCTAAGTTACATAGTTCATATTCTGCTCTAAATACATAACAATCACACACTTACGGTCTACAACATTTATGCAAATACAGCCTATATTCTTTAATTCTAATTCATAAAAAAACTGTTTTTGTTAGCTACACAGTTGAATTTATATGTTACAGAGATTTGTGTCTGGTAAAAATCAAATCTTATATCTTAATAACAACTTCTAGCTGAAATCTTAACTATTTGAATAACAACCTGAAATATGTGTAGTGAAATTATTTGTATGGTGGTAATTTATGAAACCAGATCATTACTACCACCCACAACTATAATATTTCAACTGTCTTATCCAATACTAGTTAGAAAAAAACAAAGAGACTTATACCTGACCAATGGGTTTTGACCTAACTAAATGTTAATACAATGCAACAGTAATATCATAATTTACTTCTGCCACTTAACAACCACTATGTAACCTTTGCCATTCAATAATACTAAACAACTAACTAACATTGTCACAACAATTAGCTAAGTTAGAATGAACCAGAATATGATTCATACATTTTCAATATTTGACTTATGTGTAATGTATTTCTGTGTCATTATAGGTTACAAGAGATTGTTCTTGAAAGAAAAATGTGCATGCCACCATATCAACACAGGTATTTATGGATGTGTGCCATTTAAAAAAAAAGGGGGGGGTAAAGAGATTTATATAGACGAGCTACAATAACAATATTTCCAGCCAGTAAGCATAATGCAGACCCCTTGTAAATTATATCAACCTTGTGCTTGCTAACCCAACATGAAATTTTTGTGCTTCATTCATAGGAACATACTTCCATGGTAGTTTCACACAACTTGGGAACTGGTGAAGGGTTAAAGACATGTTCAAAATGTTGTTTTTAAGTTTCTGTTATCATTGCGTGGATGTGTTTCAAAAGTTGAAAGTGTATCAAAGTTTTACATTTACAGTGAAAATGAAACAAGTTTCTAATTAGTACACAGATATATGAAAGAATGACATACACTCATTGTATCTTCCACAAAACTGAATCACACACACAGTTTGATCAGACTGACTAAACGATAACAGAATTTTCAACCTGAATGGCACATTATGTGCATGTTGACTAAATGGTTGTCCCTAATTTTGAACTACTGTCCAAAGGTAGGGCAGCCAATCAGCAGCACTCATAACTACCAGCTCTCTGAACCAAATAATTGGAATAACTGTCACTTTTATGATGCACCCATAGCTGAAAGCATGAAACATGTTCAGTGGCATCATGATTTGACCCTGTTAATCTGCAGTCAGGTCTGCTAACCACAAGGCTATGCTTGGACCATATAAAATGATGAGTTGTTGTATTAACATTTTGTTTGAAGTACCCCACATCACAACTACATAACAGTTGGTGGATTACCATGTGGTCAAAGACACATGAAGGGATAATTAATTTTAGTTTCTCTAGCTTAGCAAAAATTTTCATATTATTTAAAAAGGTATAGACAAAATATTAACTTAAAAATAAAACTCTCATACTGAAGCTATGTTGACTGGCTGATATCTCATAAAGATCAACAAAAACCATAAATCTAAGTGACTAAGCTAGAGTACGTACTTCTTTTGCATATGCTGTCATCATTGTATTAATAAGATATTTAGTTCTTTATAATAAATTTAATTTGCATACAGCTGTTTTGGGCCTATAAATGTTTTGGGCATAAACCTTCTAAAAACTACAATCACAATTTCCCGATGATGATTGGATTAATCAATATGGTAATGCTAAATCTATATATTTTGATAAAATAATAAATCATTTATCTAAAAATATTGGTGATGATGAATGAGAAGGATTAAAGAAATTCTACCAGTTTTTCTTTTTTGAGGCTTCATGATGAGCAATGAATATTTAATATACAGTCTACGACAGCAGAAAAAGAAAACAAAACACATGAGTAATCTCAATTCAAAAGTAAAAGGTAAGTTGCAAGAAGCTAATAAACCTAACTTCCAAGATCTACACGAACAGTCACATTTTCAAAAGTGTGCGTTGATTTATTTCTGTTGCACTATTTTTCTTCTACATGTATTACATTATGCTTTGTAAGAAAATGAATTATAACAACTAAAATTAAAATGAAAGAAAACGGTTAAAAGAATCTGAATTATGAAATTTATCTTATATTTTTTGCTGACATTACAATGACACATAATGAATGAGAAAAAAAAATGTTAAAAAGTTATTTGTTTTTAACCCTTTGAGACAATTAAATTTCAGGCAAGTTCTCAAAAAATGTCAATTATCCATTACAAAATGAAATTTAGAATTTTTATTACTTTTTCCTTATTAAAATCCACTAGTTGCACTTTTGGTCAGTGATGTACACACGCGTGGTACTAAGGTGGGAATATTAAGGACGTGACTTTTTGTGATACTATAGGGTATATCCACTTGTTGCATCAAACGGCTATAAATATCAAGTTTATAGAAATTTGATTATAGTATCCAAAAGGGAAAAAATGTAACAGCAAGACTCTGAACATTTTTATCTCATTGTTATTTCTGTAACTTTTGTGAATGATTCATTTCGGAAAGCTTTCTTGAAGTGAACCTCACTGGAAAAGATGTGTAAATTAATACTCTTTTAAACTCACCATGTCAAACATGTCTTGATAAAGGTCATGAACCATATATCTTATTACTACTATTATGCCTTATAACGCTATGAGAGCACTCATTGATCTGTAATAGCCCACAGCTACCATCAGATTAGATTCAAGGTTATCCCTTTTCTTTAACTCACAAGAACATTAATAGAAAGGAGAAAGTTGGTGACATACTTTGCTAGAAGCAAATTTTTTTTCATACGTGTATTTTTAATTTTTTCAGACATTCATACATTTTCAGCAGAGAACGTATAGGTACGGTATGTAAAACCACAGTGCTCTTTAGTTGTGTTAATTGGGTTAGTTAGTCAGGTTATATTGAGATTAGTAACATAGGTTATTTTACCACCAAGAACTGATTAGTCAAACACACACAAACACAATGATTAGCTACTTGCAACTGTTGGGTAGCTGAGTTGTAATAAATACAAAGGGCTATGCTATCTGCACTAATTGTCTCTAATTTTGAATTGACATGCCAGAACAACAGCAGTTAGACAGAACTAACCACTTTTGGGCTTCTCTAGTTGAATAATGAGATTTCAACATCACTCTTACAATGCAACAGCCCTAAGATATGGAGTGTGTTTTTGCAGCAACAGGATGTGAACCCCAAATCTGTGGATTCACAGACTCACATAACAATCACTAGGTCATGTCAAGCCCATAAAAGGATTCAAACCTCAACCTGAAACAGTATTTTGTATATTGTTTGTGTCATACAGTATAACCTGATATTGAAACAGTGGCTTGTACTCAGTTTGTGTTACAGGATATAACCTGATACTGAAACTATGTCTTGTATTCAGTTTGTGTTACAGGTTATGACCTGATGCTGAAACTATGTCTTGTATTCAGTTTGTGTTACAGGTTATGAACCTGATGCTGAAACTATGTCTTGTATTCAGTTTGTGATACAGGATATAACCTGATACTGAAACTGTGTCTTGTATTCAGTTTGTGTTACAGGATATAACCTGATACTGAAACTGTGTCTTGTATTCAGTTTGTGTTACAGGATATAACCTGATGCTGAAACTATGTCTCGTATTCAGTTTGTGTTACAGGATATAACCTGATGCTGAAACTATGTCTTGTATTCAGTTTGTGTTACAGGTTATGACCTGATGCTGAAACTATGTCTCGTATTCAGTTTGTGTTACAGGATATAACCTGATGATGAAACTATGTCTTGTATTCAGTTTGTGTTACAGGTTATAACCTGATGCTGAAACTATGTCTTGTATTCAGTTTGTGTCACAGGATATAACCTGATGCTGAAACTATGTCTTGTATTCAGTTTGTGTTACAGGTTATGACCTGATGCTGAAACTATGTCTTGTATTCAGTTTGTGTTACAGGATATAACTTGACATTAATCATTAATTCATAAACCTTAAAAACAAAAAATCTAAGGTGAATTTAATGACATGAAAATAAGTTTTTCTTCAGTACTCCATTTCTACTGCTATTCAACATAAGACAATCAGTCATTTATACATATTACACAAAATGTATATCTTTTCATCCAACCATTCAAGTTGTTTAAATATTAGTTTTTTTGACAGACAGTAGAGTAATCTTACAGAAAACAACAAACAAGAGAAATCAGTGGTCATAACAATAACAAGATACAACAAATTATGAAGAGTACATCTTCTGTGAATGCATATGACAGTGAAGTTTTTAAGAGTCTGAACACTTATAATGAATGTCTGGTTTTCCTGGAAGTAACACCAGGATAACAAAAGACATGGAACACTATATACAACTTGTAAATAAAACTTTATACAGCAAGATATTGTTTTAATTTACAGGCAGGTCTCCTGTCTTCTCAAAGAATGGAATGATCCAAAGCTGACTGACATCACAAGATGCTGCTAACACAAAAAGCTCTACCATGGGATGTTGAAAGTCATGCACTATGTCCTCTTTGTGTTACTAGAGGGCAGCACCATAGAGTAACCCAGAGGAATAAAATGGCTTGACCAAGAAATAAAATCGTAGCACACGTCATAGCCCATATTATCTGAAAAGTGTGAAAAATTAAATGAATGCAATAGTTACTGTTGTAACAGATTTTATTCCCATACATTAAGGGTAGAAAAAGTATTGTCAGTGACAATAAAAAAACTGCAATTCTTAATTTTCTTTTGCTTTAATACTTAAAGTAATTGTTAATTTGTCCCTGTTAAGAGATGTGGCTTCCAATCCTTCCAAAGAAAATGTAGACATTAAAGAATTTAAAGTTAATTTTTTTTGTCTGAAGTAGTATTCTTACATTTACCAGTACTTCTATTTGTTAACCAATACTAATGATACTTCATAACATTTTACATTTGAAATGCCATAGTAACCAGAACATCATAGATTCAAGCAAACTTCACATTTTAATTAATAAAATACATGGTACAAAGCTGAGCCATAGCTTGAAACAGGGTAAATAGGCTGATTTTTACCAAAACTACAGTTAGAAGAGAATTTTAAATTACAACAATCTTTAGTGTAATAATCAATGTAATACAAACTACACAGCTTTGTTATAGTCATTAACAGAAATAACAAATATCTATATATATATATATATAACGACCTATTAAGTCAACATCAACAAACAGGTGGAAAGGACTAAGTCACTGAATCTAATGGCAGCATAATCCTGACATTTCTGAAGTTATATAAAATTATTAATTTTTTGAGTAACATACTTTCATTAAAAACTTATTTACTATCTTTTTACATTTTATACAAAGAAGTAAAAATAAAATCTCACCTTCCAGAACATAAGTTTGTATAAAATATTACCATATAATACAAGTTTTTATTCCGGTTAAAATAAACCTCTGATAACAGGAAAACACTTCCACTGTTATAGAATGATACAACAACAATTACTCGATAAAATAACATACTTTACCTTGATCCTAAATTTCCCTCATAACACAGTAGCTTGTGGGACATCTGTAACTGTGGCCGAGAAAAACATGCAAGGGTTCTCTTCAAAGTCATGCTGTAAGGTTGCACACTTCTCTTCAAACATCTCTTGGAGACTCTCCTGAGCCTGCATGATTATGACCGCAGCAATATGAAATCAGAAAATGACAGTAAAAAGCTAAAAATGATCCATCAAAGTTGTAGATTGTACACATATACTCTAATAAGTGGTAACCATGGTAATTGCAAATGTGGAAATCATAATACAGATAAAATAACTATAAATATGATTTGACAGAAAGTACATATGTGTGTGTGTACATATATAAACATATACAAAGAAATCTCTTCTGACGATATTCCCAGAGAGTTTTTTAGACAACTAGGTCAAAAATAAAAAGCACTGTACTAAAAAAACAGACAAATGAAAAAAAATGTACCCTAGTAAGGGGTGTATCTGTCATTTATGTACAATACTTTATATAGGGGCTAATAATATAGGGATGGGTAGGTCAAAGGAGCTAACTGTCAAATGCAAAGCCTTGATAAATGTATTCAAAGAAGAAGGTCATAATAACTTAATTGCCAAGACTTACTTGTGAAGATGAAATTATAAGGTATTAGGGCTGAAAGTTAGGCTTAGGTTAAAATGTAAGGAAGAGTAGGTTGGCTGGTTGAATTTGTGGGATCAGTTCAATGAGAAGAGGGAATTTTTTGAAATGGATGGTTTAAATTTATAAAGAAGGGGTTGGTTTATTTGCAAGGGTTATTAACTCAACTGTAAGAGCAGAACTTTAAACTAGGATTAGACAGTGGAGAGGGACAGAATAATGAAGAAAAAAATAAAAAGAAAAGTACAGTGTAGGAACAATGTACAAAAGTAGTTTTAATTGTAGGCTAATTATTATCATTGTAATGCTAGATGTATAATAAATAAAATGGATGACCTTAGAGCACTGGTCCAAACAGAGGATTTTGATATAATGGGAATAACTGCAACCTGGTTAAATGCAGATGGTTTCAATGGCAGGAATACCTTTAAAATACAAGATTATGGGTTGTTTAATAGGGTCAGAACACTAAAAAGAGGGGGGAAGTGGCTTTATATGTAAAATATGAGTTACATCCCATTCAAGTTGAGGATACCAAAGTTAATAGCAATAAGGTTGAATCTAATTGGGTTTCTGTTAGTTATAAGAAGAAAAGGTTTTTAGTTGGAATTTGTTAAACCACCAGAAGAAACTGGTGAAATTAATAAGATTATAATTATGGGAGCTTATAATTTCAGGCATATAGTTTGGGAAATGTTAGACTAAAATCATGAGGGAGACAGGTTGTTAGAAACTGTTCAGGATGGTTTTCTTCACCAATCGGTTAGGGAACCTAACATGAACAATGCAATTCTAGATTAATTGTTAACTTCTAATATAAAAATAGTTGAAAGAGTGGAGATTGAGGAATCACTCAATTAGATTTGATGGTTTTGCTACATAAGGAAATAATGAAATTTCGATTCCAAATTTCAAAGAAACAATTTTTGAAGGGATGATACAAAACTATCTGCTGTGAATTAGGCAACAAAATTAAATGGAAATACTGATCAAATGTGGAAATTTTTTAAAATAAATTCTTAAATATTCAAGATAGGCAGGTTTCTTGTAGAGAAAAAAAGATGTCTGGAAGTAAAAAAACCCAGGTTGGCCAACAAAGGATATAAAGCATAAAATTAAAGAAAAGTACTATAACAAGTTAAAATTGACTGCAATGTTGGGAGATTTGGAAGCTTATAGAAGATAAAGAGAGAGTTAGACAAACAGGAAATCAAAGAATTATAGGAAAAAAAAAAGGTTGGTGAAAAATGTAAAAATTAAAAGGATTTCTTTAAATACATTAAGGGTGAGCATAATTTTAGTATGGGAGTAGAGCCTTTGAAGAATGATACAAAAAGGCTAATATCTGATGATTATGGACATGGCTAGGTTATTAAATTCTTATTTTTCTTCAATTTTTACTAATAAAGTTTTAAGCAATATTCCACATCTTTAACAGTTGTTAGATGAAAAAAAGATGATCACATTAATTCTAAACTTGTTGGTTAAAAATGGATAGTGCTCCTGGGCCAGGTAATATTTACCCAAGGGTTTTGAAGGATTGGATATGCGAGCCATTTACTACTATTTTTGTCAGTCCTTGAATAGTGGGCAGGTACCAGAGGATTGGAAGTTGGCTAATGTAACTCCTCTTTTCAAGAGAGGTGATAAAAATTGTCCCAGTAATTATAAACCCATTAGTCTTACATCAGTGATGGGAAACATTTTTGAAAGCCTGACAAAAGATGCTTTGCAAAGTCATTCAACAATGATGGATAGTCAGCTCGGTTTCACTAGAGGGGAAATCTGGCCATTCTTTGAAGAGGTTACTACTATGTAGATAAGGGTACAGGCGTGGATTTATTGTAACCAGATTTTTTAAAAGCATTTGACAAGGTGTCACATAAAAAGGCTTGTTAAAAAGTTAATTCTGTAGTTGTGTGAGATAGATTGCCTCATTTCATAGAAAACTGGCTGGATGGAAGAAAGAAAACATTGTTATAAATGGAGTTGAATGAAGCTGCTGGGGTTCTTCAGAGCTCAGTTTTAGGACCTTTTCTCTTTTTGATTTATATCAATGACATAGATGAAGAAATAGTCAGTAACTTATTTAAATTTGCTGATGATATTCAAATTTTTGGTGTTGCTGGTGAGGAGGATGTTACTGCTTTACAACAGGATTTGGATTTTCTGGTGAGTTGAGTGAATAAATGGCAGATGGCAAAGTAATGTATGCGAGATATCACAATATGAATTATGTGTGTAATTTTGATGGGAATAACCTGAACAGTGTTATGGGAGAAAAAGATCTTAGTGTCAAGGTTGATCAGTCTCTCAGACCATCCAAGTCATGTGCTGTTGCTAGTGATACAGCAAATAGGATTTTAGGTTGTATCTAAAGAATTGTATAGGTCAGTGGCTAGGTTACATTTGAAGCAATGTGTTCAGTCATGGGCTCCTTACCTTAGAAAGGTTCTTTGGTTGGTTAATTAAGGCTTTATGGCACAAAGCACTAAGGCTATCTGCAGCAAACAGTATGAATAAGATGGGAAAAAATGTAAAATAGGATAAAATGTAAAAATTCAAAATAAAAGAGTAAAACACATCATATTTTGTCTTTGTAAAACATTGTTAACAATTAAACAGAATTAAAAAAGCCAATTGCCCATTTAAAGCTAAAAACATGATCAATTTAGACAGTGTCAGAATTGCCAATGACACTGTCCAATATCAAAGGTAAATCATGAGAAAAAACATTTATAAAATGGTGCCAGTAATGGCATGAAACTAAAATGTGGGTAATTGGGACTTGAGTGTTACAAGGGCCAAACACTGGTGGATCAGTTTCTTGTAAAAGAAAACAATGAGTAATTTAAACTGTGGCCTTATGGAAACTAAATGGCCAAACAACAACAGAAGGCTTTTGAACCCATTTCTTGATTACAGGTCTGAAGTCCACATAAGGGGCTGTGACAAAGCCAGAGCAAATGGATTAAGCTGCAGTAAAGGCAAACTACTTCTCATGAATAACAACATGGCCACGAATCCAGAAAAACTGAATAGATATGGATGATAAAGAGAAGTGGGCTATTTGTTTTGTATATCCAAGAGAATTCACGTTAAGTGATTCTAGGACCATCAAAGAGCTAAACAAGTCAGTATAGATGATACAGTTAGTGTACTGCTTAGCTTATACATGACTCAGATCAAGTGAAATTGCATAAACTCAGCAGTGAACACAGAATCTGTTGAGGAGATCTTGTGAGCATCTATTGAGCCACAACAAATGATGGCAGAGCCCACAGAGTCACCAGATTTCAAATCATCCATACAAATGGGAACAGAAGAATGATTCAAAATATGTTGAGGAAAGAGAAGAAGGTACTTCCAATCAGGAGTATCCAACCTCCTCAGATGACTAAAAAAAAAAGTCACAAGTGGGGATGGGCTGATCATCAGATTCTCTCAAGGAATTCAAAGTAGCATGGGGAGTAACCTCAACGAGCATATCCCCAATGGACTTCAATTTCAAAAGGAGTTTGCTATCTTGTGGTCAAGATGTCCCCAAAAAATAGCTTCTTTACTGACTTTGGGAAAGCCAACGAGCTTCTTTAAACCCTTGTGGATGAAAAAGGGAGACATTTGCTCTATAGATTTGTCACACAATGAATGAAGAATTAGAAACGGAGCTACAGGAATGTTAGGAGATGGTGACTACAGATCAGGCTTCCATTTGTGGTCGTTTTCCAATTATCATTTTTTATTATATTTTGGTTTTTCATTTTTTACGTTATCCATGAGAAAAGGAAAGAAATTCAGTACCAACTGACTCCACCCACCATGGGGTCCTACAAAGGGACTTGCTACATTGTTAAACTAGGACAGAACAGCTACTGCAGGGTTTTGTGGACACTATACCCAAACAGCAGCACCAGACACAATGTCCCCATACCTGCTGAGAACATCCAATACTGGCACTCAGTTGACCCTATTCCCACAGGACCAGTCAAATTATGCTGGGGGGAGGGGGCACCCTAAGGCCACCAATCTTAAACACCTCAACAGATCCCCTCTAACCTTTCTTTTTTCAAGAGGAAATAATTTCAGAGATCTTATCCTAGCCTCGTATGATAACCTTTCCATCCTTGGTATCAACCTTGTAGCCCTACTCTGAATCTTTTTCAGTGTTTTTTCTAAGATCCTTTAATGTGGATTTGTGTGTGTTGTAGGGCATTGCAACACACCACCTTAAGGGAATTTATAGAGTTTGGTGCATAATCTTTTTTTCATATTTAATGGTGAGAATCGTAAGACTAGAAGACAAACATTTAAATTTTGGCAGGGTAAGGGTCATTTGTCTAAGTTTTATTTTTCTAACAGGGTGGTTGGCCTTTAGAATGGGTTGCCTTAGGATGTGGGTAAATGCAGTGAATTTAAGGGAAGACTTTACAAATATTTGAAAGATAAGGGCTAGTTTTGAAAGTTTTTTTTTAATTTTAGAGTTTAGCATAATTGATGGGACAGCCTAATGGACCAATAGGTCCCTTGTTATCCTTAAATTATATATACATATGTATATGTAAGTTGTTACATATGTCAATATATTAAATAACCTGAATGACTTCTTGATTTTCATTATCATATTTAGCTCATAAAATTTTAAGTCTATGAAACTGTTTCAAGAGCTAAACACACTCAGTGGTTTATCTTTTATGCGAGTAAAGCTTCTACATTTTAAGTTTCTACTACTTTGCATGCCAGCACAGAAATGAGATAGAAGAACAAATAACAAATATATGCATAAACTAAACTTCATAAGTTATAAGAGGGTTATAAGCTTTCGATATGTCTAAGAATAAAATGTAACTCACGTTGTTTTTTTCTTCTTCTAGCTTCTTCCTAACTTCTTCATGTTCTTTCTCTAACAATCTCTTTTTCTTCTTCAACAAGCTGTTAAACTAAAGAATCATTTACTTTTTAGTACCTCAAACCAAAACAAATTACTAAGACAAGATTCAGAAATTTAGTTTTTTCAGTAGGCCTTTTATTGTTTCATAAATGGGTTTGTTACTAACTTGTGATCACATTTTAAAGCAAGTATAAATTACTATAACTGCTATATATCAACAGTACATTACATTTACTCCCTATCTATAAAGCTTTGATAGAAATAATTATAGTCTCTGTACTGCTGTAAGATGCTCATTCAACAACACTGTAGACAATTATAACCTCTTTCTCAGTATAATATTATAATTCAATAACTTAATAGATAATTAAACAAGAATTTTAAACTATTAGTTTATATCCTCTTACACTCATGGACTAAGTTTTAAATTTCAGTTTAAGGTTGAAAAATAGCATGATTCAGCTATTATCTATAAAAACACGTTATTCTTCAAAATATATGGCACAAAAAATAAAATTTGTATGAACTTAAATGTGAATATAGGGCATTCAAATTTACCCATTGGAAAGTTTTTACTTTGAAAAAGAAAGAGGCAAGAGATAGTACTGATATTTTTGATGAGTTTTAAAATAACCATTAATTTTTATGTTAAGTAAAAATAAAATACAAATATTAAGCACAACAATATTATTAGATAAACTTAAAATGCTGCATTATAAAATGCGATGCAAAAAAGTTTCTACTGTACTGAAAATCTGCATATTTCAAATTGGTTGAATCCTTCAATATATTTATGAATAAACAACATAACTTATTAATTTTACTTCATTATCACTGATATTTTTAGCTCCAGATTGTTTATTTTGATGGCTTGGTATGAGGTTTTAACCCCAAAATATACCCATATTCATTAAAAAGGTTTGGAGTTTTACCATTTCAAATTACTTGAAATAGGACAATATTTACCATTTGTCTCACTGGTAGAGCTTCTTACACTTTACTTATTGTTTGTCTTCCTGCTAGAAGCAAATTACACTATGCATATTTTTTGAGTATCTCTACTTCAGCTTGTTACTCTCAAATTATTCTGTCTTTCTACTACAGCTTATTACATTCTATTTACTCTTTGTATATCTGTTACACTTTGTTATACTTGTTAGTTGTCCCTCTGCTACAGATTGCTACATTCTACTTACTCTTTGGTTTTCAGCTATAGTTTTTTACATCCAGCTTACATTTTGTATCTCCGCTACAGCTTGTTACATTCTACTTACTCTTTGTCTTTCCGCTACAGCTTGTTCAATTAATTTCTGTTGTAATTCTCTCTTCATTCTGTTTAAGAAGTTAAAAATTAATTTACAAGTAGAGAAACCTTTTTAGGCCTATTGTAACTATAGCAAGTACTAAAAAACATAATAGGGATCACCCAAAAATTCTAATAGAACATACAGGTTAAAAACCATCTTAAAAAGCAGACATGTTCTTGAAACAACATTCAAGACCTTCTATCTCAATGGCTAAAATATTGCTACTAGCAAAAAATTTATTTTCCGATTGTTAGACAAAATTCATCCATTTGTTTTTCATATTAATATTCTTGTTTTACAAATCTACAGAATAAATAGCTAAGAATATTTTATTCAAACCTGTGTAAACCTACAAAAAATTCCTTCATGGGTCATAGGACTATTTTTATGTTGATTCTTGAAAGAGAAGGAGATTTTACCATTTTTTTTCATCGCTACTGGCCAAGTTTCTCTTCAAAGTCATTCAAGCACAGAAGCCTACAGCAAACCAACTCCTGTAGGGCTATTTTTAAGTTGGTTCTGGAAAGTCAAGATTTCCACCCTCTAAAATTTCTAAGTTCTTCATCATTACCAACATAAGCTCTTTGAAGCCATTCAAGCATTGCAAAAATGTAGAAGCCATTTAAGCACTGTTATAGTAGTCGGAAATGCTCTGTTTTATTAAAGTAAACAATGTGTATATTTATAACAGTGTATCCAGCTTTATTATTATTGATTATAGTTTTACAAGCTACTACAAAAACAAACAAATGGCTATGAATATTTTATTGAAACCTGAACTATAATAATGAATTCAGTATTAAATATCTCGTAGGGTAGTTTTAAAATTAATTCAAGCACCTCCATATTTGAAGGATTTCTCTAAGTCATTCACTTTCCACCATTGAAAAAATCCAGTGCTTTACTAATGCATATTAATTGGAAACTGCCATATTGAAAGTTCATCATTTCTGAAGTTCACAGTTCTTCATTGTTTCACAAGTTCGCTGTTGTACTTCATCTCTACATGGTTTTCTGCAACTATTTCAGTGAGTTTTCTAACAGTAGACGATTACCACAGTAGATTTCTCTACTTTTGTGAGTGGTGAGTTATTCTACTGATTTTTGTACTTCGCTGAAATTGTGAGTGCATATTTTATTATTATTTTATTATTATTATTCATATTTTTGTTTCACAAGCCTACAGCAAAATGGGCTGGGTATTTTGCACCAATATCTAGACAGATACACTATATGAAATGCTAGGAATGTCCATAACCTATTTAAAAAGTTGATTATTTTTCATTGAAAGTTGATTTATGTGGTTATAAATATATAATATGTGTGAGGTTGTTGTGAGTGGCTTCCTTTGTACTTGTTGCTTGTTAAATGTGTTTACATGAAACCTCACACACAAAACACCTGGCTGAGTAAATAATGGATGAGTAGAAAGAAAGCCAATGCAGCAGTAAACTGTTGAAAAACATGTAACATTCAACTGAATATATATGTATGTATGTAGCTTAAAACTTATTCTCCATAAATGGACATAAAAAAATTTAAATAAGGTAATTAAAAATTGCTTTTGTTAATTTAAAAAGGGGGAATAGGGATCATCAAAAAAGTACAGAAACAAGTTGAATCAAAATGCAAAGATTATATTTTCAAGCCTACAACTAGAAACTCTAAAAAAAGTAAACAAACTAGGATGAAAACTATTGAGATACAATATCACTTTACACAGAAACCATTAAGCATATACATATTAGGAAAAAGTAGGATCATACCTGGCCAGCTCATTTTTATCTTTGTGACTTTTTCCTAAATTACGAATTTCTTCCCTGTTTTGTGTCTCTAACCTCTTCATTAATTCACTAACTTCCCTGGAAAACAGAAATATTATTTCACATTACAAAGATCAATAATTAAATACTGTAGAATGTAACAATCAACTGCCCTCACAAGTTCATCATAAAGTTATCCTCATGCAACTTGGTAGACAAAATGTCTGCCTTATACAAGATATTTGCCATATATTAGCTGTGTAACACGTGATTAAGACACTACCATGTATACAATGTAACAAAATCTAATGAAATGAAATTAACATCAAGATGGATTCATGTAAACACAATCTCTCTTCTTGATATCACTTATGTTGAAAAGTCAAGAGTTACTTTTGAAAGCTGGCAAGTGTTACTTAAATTTCTTACCCAAAACCAGCTACATTTGTTGTTTGTTCTGTTTTGTGTTTAAATTATTTTGAGATGAACAATAAGGGTCTTACCTGTCATGGAGGTTCTGTAAGAACTGTAGCTGTTCAGCTTGAGACAGTTGGGTTGCTTTTTCGATGGCAAGATATAGCTAATGAACATAAACAAGTTTCCTGATCAAAATATGACTCTTTTTATTTAGAATACTAGTTTTAAAATGTTTTAATAGACATTTGTTTTTAGATATGTAATCACCAATTAAAAAAGTCCATAACTAATCAATTAAGTTATTTCATGGATGGACAGTTAACACAAGTAAAGCTTCAAGTTCAGAGTAAAGATCAAGTGTTCCATTTTATCATGATTTCCAAATTAATTTTTATTATCAAGTTAACGATCAACTTCTCGTGTGTTTTGAAAAAATATTTCCAATGACCAACAATAGATTTAATAAACAGCTAAGTTGATGAGAACATTGCAGCTGATACATGAGTCGAGTTTAGCATACCTAATGAATGATGAAACAAATTGTTTAGGTTCAGAGACTTATTGTCTTGAAACTAATCAACACATTCAAGGCTTAATTATATTATTAAATTATAATTCAACTATAAATGATTAAATGAAGCAAGTTGTTTGGGCAGGTTGATGTCTTGAAACATATCCTCAAACTTAAAACCATTTCTTCAACACTATTTTTACTACTTTCACCCAACAACATTGAAAGTAACCATGAATTTTAAAAAACTCCTAAACTATTACACTAATGATACATACCAGTGGTGTATCCTGAAAATATACAACACATAAAGCACAGTGCCAATACAAAAGTTGTGTATATTTTAAAACTTGTTTAAACATAAAAAAATACATTTTACAATCAACTGAGTTTACCTTAAAAAAAAGGATTATAGGATTTTAATTGAATTGCTATTAATAAAGAACATAAAGCAATGTCACCACAGGTTCTTACTTACTTTCAGTTGTTACAAAAACTCTGTAGGCAACATAAAAAGTTAAATCATTAAAATTCACAAATTTATTAATCATTAAAACATTCTTAATAAAGATAGACAAAAATCCTATTCAACATTAAATGTTAAGATATTTACTGGTTCATGGTATTTCTTTTGCAGTTCCATTTCTGCACGCAACTGCTCCTTTGTCAGGGACAGGATATTTTGACTATAAGTTTTCTGAAGTTCCTCTATCTAAAATGAAAGTCATCTTACATATATTTCATCTATGAATTTGTAAAATCATTTGATAAATATAATACTAGTTAAATCTGATTGATGTGGCATAATTAATAAAAATGTATTATTCTAAATTTAAAAACATACTACAATTCAGCAATACTGTTCATCATCCAACTTGTAAAAAAGAAGATAAAAATATATATAAAACCTTAGTGCTTTGTAAATACTCTTACTTTTATTCTGAATTATAAACAAAATTATAAAAAAGATAAGCTTTACTGTCAGTCTGCATAATGATAAAATGTGAGTGTTCTAAAACTCTTCATAAAAACATAAAACCAAAAAAGCATTCAACACGAATTTTAAAACAGAAAAATGTAGATTCTCCATTGGATAGGTAAATGTATTTTTAAGTATGTGAAATCAAGCATACTTCCTTTCTTTGTTATTACTTTAGGGAGTATCATTAACAGTTGAAAGGAAACAATGTTAAAAAAAAAAAAGATAAATATGAGATTATGGCTTAAGTGTGAAATACTCTGCAGCAACCAATACAAGGAACCATTGTTAGTGTTATGATTTTTATGGATGATATTAGCATCTCTAGAGATTCAAAGCTTCATCTAACAGGGTAAAAAAAACACATTATTTTACTATTGAACTACTAATATGAAAGTATTATGTACTCATGCTGTACAGTCATTACATTTTCACAAACTGAGCTGTCCTTGATCCTAGATCAGTGTTCTTTTAAACAATCTCCCAGTCTTCTGACAGTCGAGCCATCACAGGCACTCTCACACATTGAGCAGAAGAATTAATATATAAAATATCTATGTCCAAAAACAACTCAAGCCTTGTTCTACATATATTAAATGAATGTGATATGGTCCTAAAATGTCCAAAAATGAAGCTATTTTATGGGTGAAGAACATGCTTCAGATTCTAATATCAACAAAGCATTACAAACCTTTTACTCATAATTTAGGTATCTTATTTAAACTTTTATGCTCTATTTTTATATTTTCATAAATGAGAATCACTTTGTAAATGTTAACAATGTCACCATTAGAACTTTATGGAATTGAAAACCCTGTCTAAAGAAATGAAGACAAACAATTAATCTTATCAACTGGGAATCACTAATATGCTGGATCTAGTAAGATACTTTCCTATGCCACCCAAACTACCTAGTTGTCATATTTGCAATTAAAATGTTATCAATAAAAAGAAGTGTCCCAGAAACCTATTAAAATCAGTCAGTATTAAAGTGACCACTTTCAGAGTTATTGCTACGTATGAACAAGTCATTTCTTTTATTTTATAAATGGTACTTTTTTCTATATGTTGGAAAGATACTGTGTTATTCTCCAATATAAAAGTGTTTTAGCATTAATATATTTTTTTGTATTAAGGTTCAGGTAAAAGAAAAAACTTGGGGAGATCACTAACATTTGTGTAAACAAATTAAATAGCTAAGTGATTGTATACAAAGTTGGAATTATAAATATTTTGAAATAAATAACCTTATATAAATCTGTGGAAGGGATGTTACAGTTTAATTATTCATTAAATGTCTTTATCTGCATAGCATATAGTGAAAAGAGGAACTTCCAGTCAGTTAAAGTACTCACCTTACTTTGGTGTTGAACTGACATTGTTTGTAGGTCAACTTCACTTTTTCTCTTGAGTAACTGACTGTAAATGTGAACAAGTTAACTAGATGTCAGAAACTGCTATGAACAATAATAACAAAGGAAACATAAAAAAGCATAACCTTAAACATATATACATACTTTATTTGTTAGATCACATTCTAATATTTTACCAATCAAATGAGCTTACTGTAAAAATTGAACTTTGAATAAGTTCATGACCCATTTAACATTTAGTGGTCAAGGTCACATGAATTCTCCCAGTTCCCATCAAGAGTGGGTTTTATCCAAGATGAAACAAATGCTCTTTTGTACAAATTATAAACCTAAAAAATTTCCTAAAATTCACAAAAATTTAAAAAAGTAATTTATTCCAGTAAGAAAAGTAATTCAAAAGAATGTGACATGGTCCTCAATGTGATGACAGATAAAGCAGTTTTGTACTCTACAACTAGCAATAACTTACACGTTAGTAGCAGAGCCTTTTTTTACAAGCTTGGCATGAGACTTAGCAATTTGGGACTTCAATTTTTCTTGAGCTTGCAAAAGTTTCTCTTCTTTCTGCAGATGAAGTTCTTTCTCTTTCTCTCGAGACTAAACAAGACGTATCATTTTAATATCTTAATAATAGGTGATCAAAGAACAAGTAACAAAATTATCTAATAGAAACTTTAACAGTAAACTACATTAATGGAAATATTTTGTTGTTTTTCAGAATATGTAGTGTGTACTGGAGGAATTTACATATTTTGGCAATAAAGTTAGAGATAAAAAAGGATTTTTACTCTCCAGATAATAACAACAAATTTTCTATTTAAGCCAATGTTTTGCCCTTGTACCATTAGCCCTGAAGAAACAGTAAGGGTGAAACATTGGCTGGAAGAGAAATTTCATTATTATTTATCTGGAGAGTAAAGGTCATTTTTCTTTTCTATAAGTTTACTGTGAAAAACGTCAGTTATAGTGTTAAAAATTAAGAAGAACAAATTTATTTGGCAGCCGTGCAAGATTATTCTTTCTTATTTCTATAATTTGTAAGGAAAAACCCACATACGACTCCACTGTAATTCCATTCTTTCTTAAATTTTCTCAAGTATTTTTAACAATTTAAACAATACCAAC